GAAAAATCAACAGGAGGGTCGCGATGGGCGCCAGATCTGGAGAACCCAGCAAGCACCGCCACAGATCTGCCGAAAGGAGAGGTAGGCCGCCGGATCTGCAAGCAAACAAGAAAACAGAAAAGCAGAACCCAAGAAACCAAAGCAGAAAACATAAACCATAAAACAAAAAGAGCCACCAAAGGGGCCACAAAACCGACAGGCCACAAAGAGCCATCGGAACAAGGAGCACGAAGCCGGCTCCATCATGCTTGAGCAGTCGAAGAGCCCGGCGGCTCAAGCACCAAAAACTCGGAAGCCCTGGGGCTTCCGATCAAAACCACGAAGCACTGGTGAAGGTAGTCAGAAGCAGGAGAAAAGAGGGGAAGAGAGAATATGTGAGTTTTAATTTAAATTCGTAGAAGTAGTAGGTTTAGGGTTTTGAATCTGAAAAGGAAATGAAAAGAGAAACGAAGATAACTTGATATTAAGGTTTTGATCAAACGAAACCCAGATCTGGAGAGGAAGAAGAAAAGGGGAAGAGAGGAGAGAGAAAGAATAAGAAAAGTTAAAAAAGTTTCACGTGGGCCCCATTAAAAGGGAAAGTTTAAAATGTGATAATATGATGCGTAAAAAAATATGCCACGTGTACAAAAAAAAAATGCCATGGAAGCAAAATTTTCATAGCTGGATTTATACATCATTAAGATTTAAAAAATCTAGTGATTTTGTGGCATTTTAACGAGTCACCTGTCATTTAACTGATGGAAGGACCATTTTGGTACCGAAAATAAATTTTAAAATTTTTTTCTTTTTTCTTTTCTTCTTTTTTTCCTTTTTCTTTTTTTCTTTTTTTCTTTTTTCTTTCTCCTTCTCTTTTCCCTTCTTTTTCCCCTCGGAACCCAGCAAGCCTAGGTTCCTTCAAACCCACTCGTTGGGTTCCTTCGAGAACCCAGCCGCTGGGTTTCGTTGGAACCCAAGAGCTGGGTTCTTTCGAGAACCCCTGGGTTCCTTCTCGAACCTAGGCGCTGGGTTCTTTCAAGAACCCAAGGGCTGGGTTTGAGACAGAACCCAACGCCTGGGTTTCTGCCTGGGTTCTCGAAAGAACCCAGCGCTTGGGTTTCTTCTCAAACCCAGGCGGCTGGGTTCCTTCGTGAACCCAAGCGTGCTGGGTTCAGTGCGAACCAAGGCAAGCGTGCTGGGTTCTTCGATCTGCTGGGTTCTCGATTTGCCAGGTTTGATTTTTTTAAAAAATATTTATGTTTAGAAGCTTGAATTTTATGGATATTTTTGAGTTGCAGCTGATTATATTGTTGGTGAATATTTTGTTTGTGTGGGCTGTTCTCATTGAGAATTTGGCAAAATTTGGTTGAGGGAAAAAATTTGCCCAGCAGATCGAGAACCCAGCAGATCACTGGGTT